CGAACCAGTTAGATAAATTTTTAGAGGGAACAGATGAAAAAGCAATTTCAAAAATGTACAACTGTTTATTAGAATTTGAATTGGCAGAGGAAATAGTTAAGGGCCCAATGATAGCATGGGCAAGGAATGTAGGACATAATATCACCCACAGGCCACGGCCCCCCCCCAGTTCCACAAAGGGGGGAAATGTTGCAATACATCATGTGGCAGCAACGTGACGCTGTGAGTTTGACACCCATGCATTAGGCTTATGTAGGTTTATGTATACAGGTAATCCTTGAATTACGACCACAATTGAGCCCAAAATTTCTGTTGCTAAGTGAGACAGTTGTTAAGTGATTTTTATCCCATGAGGACCCAAATTGTTGCTGACTTTGTAAACTGCTTAGAGAGGACTGTAAAGCACTGTAAAGCAGTATATAAGTCTAAGTGCTATTGCTATTTTACAACCATTCTTGACACAGTTGTTAAGCAAATCACTGCACTTGTTAAGCTAGTAACACCGCAGTTATGTGAATCTGGTTTCCCCATTTTGGTTGTCAGAAAGCCGTAAAAGGTGATCACATGACCCCAGGACACTACAATTGTCATAAATATGAGCCACTTGCCAAGGGTCTGAATTTTAATCACATGACCATGGGGATGTTGCAGCTGTTGTAAGTGTGAAAAACAGTCATAAGTTGCTTTTTTCAGTGACTTGTAACTTCAAATCATCACTAAAAGAACTGTTGTAAGTTGAGGACTACTTGTACAGATGTTATATCTGATGCATGCTAGAGAGTTAAGAAAGCAAGAAAAATACTCCAAAGAAGCCAGTATGTGCTTCTTTGGTTATAAAAAGATTGTGTGAAGCTATGGAATGAAGCTATGGAATGCACTTTAGAAAAATGGGACTCTCAGAACATTTCATTGTCCTCATGAGAAATCTATATCCAGGTCAGGAAGCCACAAATACAGACAGAGCATGGTGAAACAGACTGGATCCAGTCCAGCAAAGGAGTGAGGCAACCTTCTCCCCTTATTTCTTCAATCTATATACTGAATATATATATTAACCGAAGCTGGACTAGAAGGAGTGTGGTTTTAAAACTGGAGGAAGAAACATCTGTAACCTGTGCTATGCTGATGACATTAGTCTAATAGCCAAAAATGCTATTGTGGCTTAATGGCTTTCGTCCTGTTTTGGATCTTGAGTGAGGGCTAATCCCATCATTCTGCTTTTGTTCAGACTTTGTTTCAGGGAGTTTCAAAATATTCTGTCTGCCTGCAGTATTTGCTTTGCCTGTGAATACTGCTATCTAGATACTTGTCTTCCTTTTTCAATAAGCTCTTTATCTCTTAAGTGCTGACATCTGCTGTGGGCTATTAAGGAAAGTAGGGTTTGCTTTCTGCCTCTAAAAAAACATGTTTCTCCATTTCTCCCTTTGAGGAAATATGATATTCTGCCCTTTTTTAACATTCCTCAAAATATTTCATTCTTCTAGGAGAGGAGTGAGTGCTGACAAGGGGTGCTGACATTCTACACAACATTTAGGGAAACTCTATGGAGCACAAAAGCGAGGGCTGAATTCTGCAGGTTGCAGGTCCAAAGCTGCCTTTCCTGCTCTAAGCCAAATCCCATGGTGCACCCACATCACCTTAGCAGGGTTTACACAACTTGTTAGGGGCTAGGGGCCCACTGTTATAATTTTAGCTTTGCAAGGACACAAGGGGAATTTCCAGTGACTGGAGTTTAGAGTTGTACATGTTTAGCTTCGGTGATACTTTTACAGGATTTGGTTGGGTTAAAACTTTGTGGAACTTGGCACAACTCTTTCAGGAAAGGGAAGAGTGAGAAAAATACACTGCTGACAATCTGTGGTTTTCCTGCATTTTCTGGTAGTGCACTCTGTACACCATTAAACTGGGCCACGGATTGTCAATCTCTCACTTTACGTGATGCCTCAACCCGGCCAATTCATCTTTGTTCTATATTTGGATTGAATGATTTATTCACTCCACAGTTTGTAGATGAAATAACTTGGTTTGCGCATCTCAGCCTCTTACTCAGGGTATAAGAAACACATGGAGATATATATTACTACAACATTTTTATTACTGTTTCTGAAATTCATTGTAACTTTCCCTCTCATTGTGCCTTCCAGATGTGTTAAAGACCATCCCTCCCAAAATTCGCAGCCAGCATTTTTTGTTTTGTTTATTTATCTCCCGCCTTTATTATTTTTAGAAACGTCAAGGCAGTGAATGTATCCAACACACAGCTTCCTCTTCCTATTTTGAGCATGAGAGTAATAGTCCCATTTTATGGGGAAGACGTCAGATTGGGAAAGGTTGACTTCGAGTTTTATGAGGTTGTCTAACTGCAAATGTTTTTCCTTCCTCTGCCCAATACAAAATCATTCTGCTCCCACAAGGCTCACAGGTATTCCAAGTAGTTGGCGGTGGTTACCATAAACCAGATGTAAACATTAAAAAAAATTAAAAGGATCAAAGAAGTGCCTTTTTCTGTGAGGAAAAAAAAAGAGAGTCCTTTCTCACAATCAACCCAGAAATTATGAGTATTACAGTTTTACGTTTCACCTCCTAGCCAACCTCAGGGAGCTGCCGCAGGACATACTAAATAGAATTCCTGCCACGAAACACTCACGTAAACGTACAGGAATGGTATATTTTTGGCCTCAAAATACACAAGGCAGCTTCCCACTGCAGCAGAGCAGAAAATGGGCAAACTATTCCCTCAACGCCCATGAATCTGTCATTAAAGGGGTTGTGCATCTCCTAGGGAAAGGATTACATGTTCCCCAACATTGCAGATCATATCCCTTGCAGAGAATTTTGGCTACCACAAGGTAAGCAAACTATGTATTTTTTTATTTTATTTTTTACAAAATTGTAGGAAATGGCCTCATACATGCCATATTTCAAACTGATTTTTATCCTTCTGTGGTTTCTGCCATGGTCACTCATGTTGTGCCTTAAAGATGAAGTCCCTAAGTAAATGGCTGAGGAAAAAAAAAAAGAAACAACCCACTGACAGACCACCATTTAGTGGGGGGAAAAGTAAATTCTTTCTCTGATAAGCTATAAAACAATGTTCTTCAAATGTGGCAACTTTTAAGATGTGTGAACTTCAAGTCCCAGAATTCCCCAGCCAGCCATGCTGGCTGGGGAATTCTGGGAGTTGAAGTCCGTACTTCTTAAAGTTGCCAGTTTGAAAAGCACTGCTATAAGCAACTAAGATAAGTCTCTTCCCCGCCCCCCTTGAGACGCCAAGTTAAAGAGTAAGTGTGAGATTAGAACATATTTAAATCAAAAAGCCAAACTCTTCAGAGAGAATCTGTTAAATATGGGCTATATTGAAGAGGCAGGACAACGGCAGAAGGAAAGGATTTCTTTATTTAGCTCTGAACAAAAGACTGCTGCCCGGTGTGCCTGCTGTTCTTTTTACAGGCTGCTGTCCACAATTTCAGCCACTGACGGCTGTTCATTTTCCCGCCTGGAAAATGAACCAATGGGGGAAGTCTGACATCACTGACTTTTCCCCATTGAATATCTAACAGAATCTGCAGAGTTTCTTCCCCCTGCTTGGTTTGGATTGTGCTCAGGAGAGAGAAGAGTGTTGTGTTACAAGGAAAAGCTGTTGGGAAGAGAAACAGCATCCAGGGGCTACAACGTCAGCTGACATTGCTCAGTTGACTCCATTCATAGTCCTTAACTTATAAAGGAATATGTTTAAAAAGCACATTTAAATACCTTTTCCCTTATAAATCAACTGCTATTTGAAAAGATGCTCATACATACACATTCAACACATTACATTTAGTTTTCTGATTGGGCCCATCTGCCTCCTTTGTACTGTGATTTTCAGGCCAATTTCGTACAAGATATGTATGCGGAACACGTGGGACCCCTAAAATAAACCAAGTTATGTTTTAAGGCATATAGCCTGGTTCCCACAGCATGCTGTATCACACTTTAGCCAACTTTAGTGTGCAGTGCAAACTAGGACACCATTTCATAGAAGCATCTACCGAGAAGTAAACACTGTTGATTTCACAAGTTGAAATTCTACGCATAATATTGATTTGGGAATGAATCCTTTTATATAAATAAGGGGATATTTATCCAGATTAAATATAGAGAGGATTGCCCTGGCAAAAATCCTTAAAAGGAAAACTGATTTTTACAATAGATAACCGTCAGAATCTTTTTAGGCCCTGAAAAATCTAGGAGGAGACAAAAAAATATTTTATTTTATTTTATCCATCTCAGCCTTCCTTTTCTCAGTACAGTAAAACAACAGTTTTATTCTTTCACTAAAAATGGAGTTCTGCTTCATTCTTTCATCACCAAAAATTAAATCCATGCCATTCAAAGTCATTCAAAACTATTTATTTCTAGCTGATTCAATGCACTGAAATTAACTTCTCTGAGAACAGATTATAAGTAGTCTTCTACTTACAACAATTGGTTTAGTGACCATTAAAATTACAATGGCACTGAAAAAGTGACTTATGACTGTTTTTCACACTTACACTCATAGCAGCACTCCCATGGTCATGTGATCAAAATTCAGACACTTGGCAAGTGGCTCATATTTATGACAATTGTAGGTTGGGTCATGATGTGGTCACCTTTTGCAGCCTTCTAACAAGCAAAGTCAAGGGGGAAACCAGATTCACTTAACCATGCTACTAACTTAACAACAGTGATTAACTTACAACTGAGGCAAGAAAGGTTGTAAAATGGGACAAAATTGTCTTGCTTAGCAACAGAAATTTGGGGCTTAATTATGGTCATAAGTCGAGAGCTACCTGTATTCCAGGGTGTATCTCAGGAGATAGCTGTCAGAATTCCCCCTCTTCTCCAAGAACAGGAGGACAAAGCAGTTAATAAGACTGGGGCCACATTCAATTCCCAATGGTTTTGCAAATGCCGTAATTTCTTTCTTGAGAAAATTTCACCACACTTTTCCATCAAGTCTTACTATCTACTAATGTGATATGAAATTGAATAAATAAAATGAATAGGTAACTATGGTCATCATGTTTGTATTGAGACGTGAAACCTGGAATCACACTGCTTGCAAAATGAGAATTTTTATTTAAAAAATAAAAATGGGAGAGGAAATTGAATAATGAAATTATTAGGTATGTTTAAATGATACGGTGGTTGGCATTAGGAGAGAGTATTGAAATGTTGAAAATAAGCAATGAAGGATTATGAGTTCATGTGAATATGTGTATTAAGAGATATGATTGGTATTATTAACTTTGATTACACCAAACTGATGCCATACTGTTTATATTTTGTTGTGTATGCGTAGATTGAAATTAAAAACTTGATTCAAAAAAAAAAAGTCTTACTATCTACCACCAGATTCCACCAATTCTCTTATGGTGAGTAGCAAAGGATGAAATGAGAAGCTTCTTCTACACCTTCTGCCAGATCAAGATTTTGTCGTGTAGAACGGATTTCATGCTGCAATGCATTGAGCGAGAGAATCATTGTTTTTGTTGTTGCTGCTGCTGTATGCTGAGTCAGAGACATCACAATAAGGTTATGGGCACTTTCTCTGTGCTTTTCTAGAGTGATCAGAAATTCCTTTTTTTGAAAGTACGACACAGACAATGGCTGCGTTCACACAACATTAAGTTATTAGCCATGATGATATGCTTCATACTAAGCTAAAGCCAGGGGTGGGATCTGACCAGTGTAATTACTGGTTCGGTGATTTTACATTTTGCTATGTGTGCGTGTATATTGTCGTCAATCTAGCTGCCTGCACAGCTGAGCAGCGCTATGCGCGGGTGCGCAGTTGTTGAAAAAGCCCTTTTTTCAGTGGCAGCTGTGCCGCGCAAAGCAGCTGCGGTTGAAAACGCAGGAAATAAAGGTCAGCTAAGAGACCGGGTGGGCAGGTGGGCCAAAACAGCAGCAGACAAAGAACCGGTTCTATGTATGCTCTCTGTTTGCTGCTTTTCAGAGCAACCGGTTCTACAGAGGTGGACAGAACCAGTAGAATCCCATCCCTTGCTAAAGCCAAACAAACCACTTCATGGTTTAGCATAAGATGTGAACCAGCTAAATAAGGATACCTCTTTGGGGGTATTTATTTATTTATTTATTTATCCTTAACTCTTGAAGATTTCATTTTATTCATTTTATTTATGTTTCATGTTAACTCGTTCTTCATGTTAACTCGTTCTTCCTTTGACAAGCTTAACATGGCAACTGTGATTTCTTAACAGAACCTAACCCATAATTTTGCAAATTATTGTGGGCAAATTGAGTAATCCAAGGTCACAGTGAACCTCAACTCTGTTTTGATATTTGTTTTCAAACATGAAATCATTACAATGTATCCAACTGAGAAGTAATTAAAAGTCCAAATTGAGATCTGAGCCCACACTTCTCTATTCCAAGGGTCTCTAATCTTTTTGGACCAATAGATTTTGTTTGAATTTTGAAACGTGTCGTGGATTTCTCGAAGGCATTTTTCTCAACGTTGGAAACTTGAAGGTGCAGACTTCCACCCAGAATACCCCAGCCAATATCTTCAAGTTGCCGTAGTTGAGACAAGCTGCTCTAAATTAGATGGTTGTCATGGAGAAAAAGTGACAAAACCACTCACAAACCAACCATTTACTAGAAGAAAACTAGTTCCCCCTCCTTCCGCTTTCTGTAGTTGCCCAAGATGTTCCACTTATTTTTGCCTGTTTTTAGGTTAGTTAACCATCCAAATGCCTTTGGGGTCAGTATGAGACCCAGAGGTATTGTTGCAAATAAATATGATGCCTGAAACTGCAGCTTTGCTTTAAGACATGCTAGCATCTCATTCTTTTTAATTAAAAGCATCTAAAAATATTAATAGGATAAAATCAGACATGTCGGGCAGATACCAAGAGATCCATCAGATTATTCCTAGTAGTCCTAGTATACAGTAGTACTTTAGGGATTGGAGATCTCCAGGTATTTTAGGCTTCAATTCCCATCCATCATGAACAAAAACCAATTTAGAAGTTATAGACCAAAACATCAGCGAGCACCATATTTTTCACATCTAATTTTCATGTCTTACTTTCACAAGGTTGGCTATTTGATGGGCAGCCATGTTTTATATCACTGGTGGCTAGTGTTTTCTTGACCATCATTGCCATTGATAGATTCTTTTGGCAATTATTGAAGTACATCATGCTCTGGGAAGGAAGGAAGGAAGGAAGGAAGGAAGGAAGGAAGGAAGGAAGGAAGGAAGGAAGGAAGGAAGGAAGGAAGGAAGGAAGGAAGGAAGGAAGGACAAATAGAATAGAATAAACAGAGTTGGAAGGGACCTTGGAGGTCTGCTAGTCCAACCCTCTGCCTAGGCAGGAAACCCTACACCACTTCAGACAAATGGTTATCCAATCTCTTCTTAAAAACTTCCAGTGTTGGAGCATTCACAACTTCTGGAGGCAAGTTGTTCCACTGATTAATTGTTCTAACTATCAGGAAATTTCTCCTTAAGATTTAGATTGCTCCACTCCTTGATCAGTTTTCATCCATGGCTTCTTGTCCTGCCTTCAGGTGCTTTGGAGAATAGCTTGACTCACTCTTCTTTGTGGAAGCCTCTGAGATATTGGAACACTGCTATCATGTCTCCCCTAGTCCTTTTTTTCATGTGCAATTTTTTTTAAAAATAGACTGCTCTACATTCAAATAAAAGTTTGCAAAGGTAAGGAAGTAGCCTCATACTATTTATGAAGTACCCTGATGAAGCTCACTCTCACCCATGTCATAAATGACTCCTTGGGTTATTTTTTTTTTAAATATTAATAACTCTGATAGGCCTGCTGTGGTTTCTTAATGAGTAAAGACAGACTTGTTTATCAACATGAGACAGTTCCGAGAAATTGCAACAAGTGGTGAAAATAAGTTGCTCTTATGTGGTAATGTCATGTCAAGGAGAGGCATTTTCCTATTACATTCCTGGGTGAGTCAGATTTTTATTTTTTTTTAAAAAAAAACTAATTATGAGTATCAGAGGACAGATGATCTTTTCAGTGCTGGCTTTTCAAGTCATTAGCAAAGAATTTCAAACCCATTATTAAAGAGCATTATGAATGAGCCGGTAAGGTTGTTGTTGTTGTTTTTTAATGAAAAGGTGAGAAAAGATCAATTTGATATGTTGAAAATGGAAAATCTGTCAAGGAAAATTTGTGGGTGGGAGGTGGGCTTGATTAGTTGGGAAGATAACAATGTCTTCCATGAAAGATACCGTATCATACTTAATAAATATACTATACTGTACTATATGGTACTATACTGTACCGTACCATAATATTACACTACAATAACTACACTTCACTACACTATAATATAAAACGAAGTGTTACTGTTGCTACAAACAATTTGGCTCCACATATTATTCACACACAGAGAGAAAGTGCTGCATATTTTCATTCAAAAAGCAAATAGGGACTGAACTTGTGTGAGGTGTAAGATAGTAGAAGAAAGTAGTTTAACCCTTCCGAATTTAAAGTTTAGATCCATCAACTTGAACCCTACTAATACCTGGAGCTTTTTTCCTGGTACAAAGAGATGCTTGATGAACCCCCCTGCTTTTCTCCAGGTATAAATACTATAGAAGTAGAATAACTTCTTGTAGGTCATCTAGTCCAACCCCCCTCCCCGCCCAAGCGGGAGACCCTACACCATTTCTGACAAATGGCAGTCCAATCTCTTCTTGAAAGCTTCCAGTGATGAAGCTCCCACAACTTCTGAAGGCAAGCTGTTGGTTGATTATTCTATAGCATTCCTTTTCATGGTGTATCTACAGACAGGGGAGCATTATAAATTTGCTGACTTTTGCAATTTAGGAGATGTTCTCAATACAGGTATGATCCTGCTAGTGTTTCATCCCCCCTCCCACACACAAATTGGAATGGACTTATGAAACTGACTATTTTAAAACTCGACTTGATCTGATTCCTGATTAGGTGTGTCCAGACATATTTTCGATGCTGTTGCCTATTGCTTCAGTTTTTCTCCTGTATTTCCTTGTGCACAACAGACTTTCGGATGAAGCAGAGAATGAAGCATAAAGGGCTCTTCCAGATCTAAGGACCCTTGAATTGATCAATATTTTCTAAAGCTTTTATAGTATGCTGCCTGAAGAATTGCGGAAGTCCATATATCTTTTATATGCTGCCTGAGGAATTGTTGAAGTCTATATATCTTAAAATAAATCTTGGTACTCTTTGAACCAGAAGTCTGAGCTTTAGTGATACAAACCAAGCTTTTTCTTTTCTAGAGAAAACTCTGTGAGATCGTGTTCAAATCACTTCTGGTGGACTTCAACCATTCTTACGTGAGTTGGACCAGGTAGAGAAAAACATGTTTCTACACAAATTTTGAAGCATGATCTGCAGTTTAGATTTCACATCTCCAATATAATACAACTCTTGTGGATCCTTGTTCCTTAGCAAGGTGTGTTGTTTCCTCTCTTCTGCTTTGAGGAAGAGGGGGAAAAACGAGGGGAGATTATACAGCATACCCCATTAACTTGACTGGAATCAATTGTCATTTCAATATTCTTCTCCAACTGCCTCCATCAGTATCTCTTCTACCTGGTAGTTAAACATTAATGACTAGTTATAAAGAATTATGTTTGGGGTGTTGATTTTCCAGCCCCATCTCTTTCCCCATCCCCATACATTTAAAAATGTAACAAGCCTATGAGATTACAAACTTGTAGACAGAAATTATTTCCGCCCTCATCTTTATACAAGATCTAGCAAATACTGGATGTGTTATCAGATACAACAGAAGCAGCTCAATAGTGGTTATTTCTCTGCTTTAAAAAAAAGCATATTAATTTGTTTTATTCAGATTCATATAGTATGACATTTGTCATGTACACATAGTTTTCTTCTTTTTGCTTTTATGTATCAGTTAGTTATTGCAATTTTTTTATTCTATCTTCTTTAAATCAACATTAAAATGTACTATAGTAATATTTAATATCACAGATACTCTAAATATGCTTTCAATGTTGTTATTGGGCAACATCCTAAATGAACCATTTTGCTTCAGATTTTAATTTTTTTGTTTCTTTTCAATTAAAACATGGAATTAATATTTTGCAGAATTACTTTCTTTTTACAGTTGTATTAATGCAAGTGAATTTCATTGGCCTTTTGGTGAGTAATTTCAAAAATAAATTATTCTTGTATTTGAAAGGAAGTCAGTCTTGGATTCAAACTGTAAATCTCTCTTGAAAATCTAGTGAATTAAAGTAATCAAAAATAACATTCCGAATCAGTTGTTAACAAGAATATTCAGATATTTACATTTGAGTGAGTGTGACATATGTGGGTGAGATAAAATAACTTAAAAAAATCTCCACTATTTCACATAGTAATATCAGGATTGATAAAATCCCACCACAGTGATTTCTTTCCTAGTGTAATAGAAATCACCCTTGACTCTTTATAAAATCAGGATTGAATGCTGTGTAAAAACAAACAGGGTACTCTAAATGATTTGGAGAATGTTTTCCAGATGGCATCTTTGAATTACAGATTTTGCAATCACCTGGTATAAAATAGACTGGAAAAAGAAGATTATTAAGACCAGGCACAGTTTGCCCCCCACCAAAAAAAGTCGAATAAGAATGCCCTAAGTTGCTTAAAGCAGGGGTCTCCAACCTTGGGCCCTTGAAGCCTGGCGGACTTCGACTCCCAGAATTCCCCAGCCAGCTTTGCTTTGCTGGCTGGGGAATTCTGGGAGTTGAAGTCCGCCAGGCTTCAAGGGCCCAATGTTGGAGACCCCTGGCTTAAAGTTCATCTTGGTGTTGCCACTTACGAAAGTCAGGCTGAAGCTGAGTCAAATGGACTCACAGCTGCCCCGGAAAACCAGAACTACATAATTGGAGATAGACACAGCATCAACGACATTGTCCCAAAGGTGCTTTTTCAAGAGGCAACTGGACTTTCTGGTTTTTCTTTGAAGATGTTTTGCTTCTCATCCGAGTCTCCAAAGAAAAATGTCTTCAAAGTAAAACCAGAAAGTCCAGCTGCCTCTTAAAAAAGCACCTTTGGGACAACCATGACCTGGATGATGGAGAGTCTCCATAGACATCAGTGACCTTGTTGCAGGAAATGCAGGGCTGAATCCATATAATCCAATAAGTGTGTCCCCAACATTAATGAAGAGCAGTGATTCTCAACAACTTTAAAAGGTGTGGACTTCAACTTCCTGGGCATGTTAGCAAGGGAGTTTTGGGAAGTCCACACACCATCTGGATGAAAAGTGGAATGTCTTCAAAGTAAAAACAACAACAACAGGGGGAATTAAAAAACAAGAAAGTCCAGTTGCCTCCTGAAAAAGCATCTTTGGGGCAACAATGACTTGGATGACTGAGAATCTCTACAAATTTTCACCCATCTTAAAGTGGCTGAGGTTGACAAACCCTGCTCTGAAACATTTAAAAAAGCCACATTTCAAAAGTCATGTTGCATTTTGTATACATTATTGGTATGCCTACCAAAGGTATTCAGGCTTGCTTAACTTATTATGGATTGAAGGCAATTGGGCTATGAGAGCTTGTTTTATATATTTTATCAAGTAGCAGTACCTAGCCAACTTTGGACGATTCCAGTCAGCTCTGTTTAGTAATGGGATAGAGGAATCACAGGAAATTCTTGCTAAATGGGCAAATCTTTAAAACAAAACCCTCAAATGAAAGTAACAACAAACTTCTTTGTAATGCTGTCAGGAAATCTGACAGATGCAGTCAGTAGGAATTGAGCTTGAGACTTCAAAATATCTTTGAACTCATTTCTGCATCACAGCATTGTTATACTGTTCTGTTGTTGATGGGTATATCCCACCTGGCCCAATATTGTAAATTAATTTACTGAGCGGTCACTCAGCCCATAAATAATCAGCAAAAGTTATGTCCATCTTTAAAATTAGTAGTACAGTTCTGAATCGAAGTGAAAAGGGTGTTCTTCAAAGCAGATCACAAAACACTTGATTTATATTGGTCCTCACATCCCTGGTGATCAAAGACCTTCAGATCAACTGCAGACTTTGTAGCTTCATACGAGTAAGTCCATCAAGAAGACAAGGTGCATCTTTTCACTTTTGCTCAAATATTTTTGAATAGGGAGTTTCCGGTTTGTCGGCTTCGCGAGCGGTAGGGATTCGCGAAGCTGCGCGATCCCTGCCGCGCTAGCCGTTTTGGGGCTCCGACCCGGACGGGTGCGGAGCAAGGCTGCCCTGCAGGGGTAGCTGAAGGTAAGGGGGATCCGGAGGAAGGGTTTGGGGGTGTTGCAGACCCCCTCCCTGGCCGGCAGAACCCCCTGTTACCAGGACGGTGCAGCGGCGGTCCGCAATGGCCGCCACAAAGAAGTTGACAGCCGGGCAAGTATGCGTAGGAGGAAGAAGAGAAAGTTATTGAAAGTGAAAGTTCTTCTTGGTCGACCCAGGGCTTTGAGATTTATCTAATTTAATTCCTGGAAAAGATGGTTTTCTGATGATTTCTTCCACAAGAGAAAAAAAAGCGGCTATTTTGAGGTGCTGAAGGGAAAGTTTACTCTCCCTCCCGACGGAATTAAGCCGGAAGGGAGAGGATAAAGAAAATATATAAATTTGGATCTTGTTGGAGGAGATGCCTTGAAGACTTGAGGACAGAAATACAATCTTAATAAGGCTTTAAAATATAGACTTGGATTCTTTTTTTTTATTTGTTTGATACCACCCCTGGAAGAGGAAGGGGGAATTTTGGCTTGCTTGGATTTATTGAGGATTGTGGATTTTGGGATTGTTTTGCCTTTCTCTCGGAATATTTGGTTGGTGTAAGAAGAAAGAGGAATAAAGAAAAGAAAAGATTTATTTATAATGGCTTTCCTTTTTGAAGACCTGAGGGATGAATATGAGCAAACAAAAGCAGCCTGCAAAGATGGCATGGAAAAAGCTTTTCTATTTCTAGAAATGGCGCTGGTCAATTACCAACAGACAATGGAACAGATGGAAACGGAAGAAGAACAACAAGGAAGAGACGAAGACGCCATCTTCATTGAATCCCAAAACTTATCTAAGGAAGAAGGAAGGAAGAGAGCAAGGAAAATGAAGGACTTAAGATCTAAAAAAACATTTGAGAAAGAGAAAAATATGATGCAAAGTAAATATAATGATAACAAACAAGAGAAAAAGGGAACACAACAGAGAAGGGATCCCAGCAAGGCAGAGGTTAGAAGAAGAAGGGGGGGGAGGGAGAGGAGGAGGGGGAAGAAAGAAAGGGGAAAGGCGGAGAAAAGCCTCAAAGCTTTAAAATTGGATGGGAGAAGAGGGATTTTTTTTAGAGACAAAGGATGAAATATAATTTTCTGTAAGAAAGATTCTGCTAAGGTACAGAAGATGGTATTGTAACATTTATATTTGAAATAGTAAATTAGAATGGTTTAAGATTTAATAAGAAATTAAAATGTTGAAGTTTTTAATAATGATTGATTTTTAAAATGTAATAAAATATCGAAGGAAAGGAGGATACAATGTATTTAAACATTTTTGGTGGATAGAATGTACCAAGCAGAACCAAATTGGGTATTTGTTATGCTGAATGTTAATTTTACTAACTTAGGGGGAGGATAGAAAGGCATCATACTCTGATTAGTGATTTCAGGAGAAATTTTTTTTATTATAAGAAGAGATAGAGGGATAAATGAATGGGCAAAAGATACAAATTTAATGATTTAATTAAGATGGATTAAATAAGATAGAAATGTGAAGAGTGATATGTGCTATTATTTTAGCCCATGCAAAGAGAGGTAACTGGGGCCAAGGTACTTTACTAAAAGATTTTTTTTATGTTTGTTTGTGTTTGTTTGTGTTTTATGAGAATATTGGGGAAATTATTGTAGAAAGACAGGGAAAGATTTAATATGTAATGATTTGTTTGTTGTTGAAACTTTTAATAAAACTTGTTTTAAAAAAAAAAAAATATTTTTGAATAGGGATGCATGGATTGTATTGGCATTGGATCTCTGAAGAGCAATCAATCTAGAATCAATTCAAGAACCTGCAGATACAACTTATCTGTTCTTGTTCATTCACAATGATGGGAAAGGTTTAATTAATATAACATATATTGGTCAATGCTTTGCTTTTAAATCTTACCTTTACCTATTAGTCGATCAATAAGTATTTTAATCTTTCTCCCCTTTCAAACATGTTTATTAGTCTCATAGAATAAGGACAGCAGATTTCACAATCATTAATTGCTCTTATCAGCCCTTTTGGTTTTCCAAACATCAGCAGTTTCTACAAAGGCTACTTTTATCTTCATGCTAAATTACGTTCTTCTTCTTCATCACTTAGCTCTGGAGGCACTTAGTAATAGATGAGAAGGAGGTCCATTAAACCTAGTACAGCAACTGATTTAACAGCTGCAGTTAGAATTTTTTTTCTGGATTGCAACAGTGAGAAGGTATAAAGCTGCCCCATCGCAAATTTCTCTTTCTTTTGCATCCCCTTATTTGGATGGCATAAAGACAAATCTTGCTCTTGTCAAAATGCCAATCTGCCATCACATTTCTCTCATGCGTAAGTAAGGTTTGGAGTTTGCAGAGAGTTGGAAAATCCAAAGCCATTGCTATGGCATAATTTGTGGATCTCATTTGTAGTCAAAAATATGGGACGGCTGCTTAAGATTTCCATCTAAGATTATTACAGAGCATTTACCAATAAGGACATCTGGTAAATTTCAGCAGGGGGCCAGAAAAGTTGCCTTTGTGTCTTCTAGCTGAGCAAAACTATTAACTGTTTATGGAAAAAAAAAATGGTATTGCTTAAAAGAAGCCTGCTGTATCATAAAGAGTCCAGGTGGTAACACAATGAAATATGTACATGGTGGATCTGGAGTGTAATAAAAAAAAATGTAAAAATGAAACCAAGAATAATTTGGAGTTCTCAGTTCCAATTCCTGTTCAGCCCATTACACTTTCTAAGTGATCTTGGGCCAATCAATGTATTTCTCTCAGTCCAACCTACTTTTTCACATGTTGATTGTGAAGATACAGCCAGTAACCCTTACAGCAACCCTGTCCTGGTTTCTTTGAAGAATTGAACACAAATGGGATCAATCACCCCCCTCCCACCCCAGGTGGTACTTTCCAGGTGGTTTGGATTTCAGTTCCCAGAATACTCAGCCAACACATCTGGTGGGTGTCAGAGGAGACTGTGATAAATAGATATATCTACCTTTAAGTGAATATTATTTTATCCATTATTTGGCACATTATCTGTGGAACTTTAAATGCTGGCTACCCTCAAAAATAAAAAGTTTTGAGGCAGAAATCAGGGACTCCTAATTTTTCTTGAAAAATAGCTGCTTCCCCTGATATTGTCAATATGAAAGAATATATAGATCAGAGATTATGCTTAATGGAGAATTGGAACATCTACTAGACAAGCCTAAGCAGGGGAAGTGTGCAAAATATTTTCACCAATCCTAAAGTAGAAGGGAGTCTCGTTTTTTGAGGTGGATAAAAGGAGATGCCACATTGCTGTCACAAAAGGGTCAACAATAATATATTTGCTTTGCAGTTGTAAGTTGAGAGTTCAATATTGACAGATCAATGGAAAGCTGTTACAACAATTCCCATCACCCTTGGCTGTCTTCAGATTTAGTGGGATGGGTAGTTGAATGAAATGAAAAAACATAGGCATAAACCATGAATGGGGCTCAATCTCATTCACACAAGCTATAGAGTAAACTAGAATCTACATATCAATTTTGTTTTAATACCTGAAAATTGCGACTGTTTGGATATAACCAATGGACACAAATCACAACTTGGCTTATAGTGTTCATGCTGTAGACAACTTTCGCTTTAATGGTTATTATATATCTGATCTTGCTTTTTAAAGAACTGTTAACTACAAGGTCAAGGTGGAGCAGATGAATAAACATACATGAAACATGTTTAATTATATTCATTCTCACTAAAGATGTTAGCTAACTTCTTATTAACTCTTGCTATGTGCAATTTCTCTTCTGTATTAACTCCATCATCCTTGGCATGAAATCATCCCACAACTGTCTTGGGTCTGTTTTGGATGGGTTAAAAATAAGCAGGACAACAAACAGGAACAGGGTTTCATTCTCAAAGAGTTCTGTTTCTCAACAGATAGCACTTTAATATTGCTAACATAAGACTCTTACAGCCCAGGTAGTTTCTTGCCAGCCTATTGACTGAGCTTTTTAGTATTTTTCTTAGTTTTGAGGACTGAGTCCAGATACGATAGTTTCTGCCAATATCTGACACTGCTTCTTGAAGTGTTTTCTTCAGTCTTCCCGGTCTGTTTTTACTTTTAATATAATCTTTCTTTACACAGAATCTGAGTCGTTGTTCTATTTCTCTCTCTTGGAAATTCCAGACCCAGTGAATCACTTAACAGCAAGCTTCATCTCTGTCTCAGACATCTTTTGTGGTAAGATACATTCTTCAGGGTGTTCTTAGTTATTTCTGCCTGTGGTCATCTTTGTCCCATCGTGTTCAATCACTCCTCCTGGCTGTCCAACATCAATTCCTGCACATGTGGCTTCTTCCTTCAAAGAACATAGTCTACAGGCATATATGCCAGTTTCAGCATAACTTCCAAGTCTACCACTGTACACCCTTCTGGCTGCATATGCTACTATTGATCAGTTGGCTGGCTAGCAGGAGATGGAGAAAGCTCAGAGGTTTCTGTCCCTTCCATAATAGTTGTGGGTCTATTTTACAGGAAAGTACGTGCATCTAATTTTAACCTAAACACCATCAATCAGAACAGCGCTGGAAGGGACCTTTGAGGTCTTCTAATCCAATCCTCCTGACCCACACCATTTCAGACTCTTCTTTAAAACCTCCAGTGATGAAGCACCCAAAACTTCTGAAGGCAAAGCTGTTCCACTGGTTAATTGTCCTCACTATTAGGAAGTTTCTCCTTAATTCCAGGTTGCTTCTCTCCTTGATTAGTTTCCGTCCATTGTTTCTTGTCCTGTCCTCTGGTGGTTTGGAAAATAAATTGACCCTCACCTCTTTGTGGCAACCTCTCAAATACTGGAATACTGCTATCATGTCCCCCTCACCGTCCCTTTTTTCTCTAGACTAGCCAAACCCAAATCCTGCACTCGTCCTTCATATGTTTTTGTCTCTAGGCCTTTAATTGTCTTAGTTGATTATCACTCACCAAAGATTGAAATCCTCACCAAGGGGTGAGGAGTGGAATGATAAGGTTGCTGCTTCCCAACCTCTTAAAAATCTTTCTAGAGACAAACCTGGGAAGGAAGAATTTGTATTTTCCAGATTCTCCTCTGGGAGGTGTTTTTCCACAACCTGATTCAATTTAAAAGAAATGCATACCATAGGAAAGGAAGACAGCAGACATAAAGGGAAGAAGATAACTAAATAGGAGTGAGTTGCAAAAATGAATTTCTGCAGCATCTGCTGTCTGGGGGAGTTTAATTTATGTCTACAAAGAAAGATCTTCTTAATTCTCTTTGTGCAGTCTTAGCCAGCATTGATGACATTATTGTCTTGCCTTTAAAATGTCTCTTTGGATGCAGAAAACTATCTGGAAAGAACTAAGTTTGTATTCTCCCAGTCTACATGTTGAACCAGAAGTCATTGTTTAACTTTATATGAAAAAAGTTCTTGCAGGCCGACAATAGGAAGAACCTCTTCTTTCAGTGATTAAAAGAAACTTCCTTTTATGGGGTCCAGTACCAAAAGGAGAAGGGACCATCTCTTGCCCTTGCAACTTACAAATCTTTATAATGGAATTCTTTATGGCTAGTAGAAAACCTTCAGACACTTTTTCAAATAACCCTAACAGTTTAATCTGTACCCTTCAAGGAGTCCTGCTGTGTGTATTAGATGAGAGAGAAACACTGCGATTGAAGCTGGAACAATCTCTAGCTTCAGGTTGGCCTGCTCTTAAAAAGTAGCAGAAGACGGGGAATTTTCTTTATAGAAAAATGGTATTGCAGGGATCATGAACCTTCCTTCTTTCTTAACTTAGACAGAAGCGTCTTTCTCGATGGGGACTCTTGGATGAAAATGCACACAAATCCTTTTTGCAAAATGAGATCTGCTAACATAGCCATTTAACTTTACTTATGTTGCAAAGCGGCAGCGTTGATTTTAATTTATAGCAAATAGATCAGGCTGGGCTTTTTTTGAAAGGTCTTATTCATCACTTCCTTTTAAAATTTACTCTTAGTGACAATCTCAAACCAGATCAGTCAGGGTGTTCTCCCTTAGGTTTTAAGTAATTTGTTTGGAATCTCAACAAATCTAATATCCCAACAGTAATGTTCATTGATCTCACTACCTTTTCCAGTGTGAGGACTAACCAATCAGTCACGTCTACATGCATAAACCCCGAATTTGCACAAATACTCAGAAAATAGTATGAAAGAATCAATGTTACTACAGAGAAAATCCTTTTCTGCCCATGAAAACATACGTACATCAAAATAGATTCAGAATTTCCAAGTTTCTTATGTATCTCCAGGCTTGAAGATTGTTTGCTTTCTTTGTTGTTTTGATTGTGAGCTGTGTTATTTTGTTCTTTCTTTAATCTGGTTGCGCACACCACCCAGTGTCGCTTTTGATGAGATAGGCGGCTATATAAAAATTTGATTAATAAATAAACAAATCAGTCTTGTATATGTAAAAAGTTAATAGTAGAGATATGTTTTGGTTGTGTTGGTGTTGGTGCAGAAATGGCACAATGCAGAAAACTGTAGCCGTCCAGATGTTTTGAACTACAACAACACAGTGCTTCTGCACTGACCAGAGTTAGGAAGTGAGATTTTGATTATTTGGAAGCTCCAAAGTTCTCCATTGATGAGAGATTGAAATATTGAAATAGGATTGAAATATGAAATAAGTGTTTGTTCTTTGAATTGGCACATCTCCATTCCAAAAAACTACTCACATCTCTTTGAGTTGTACAGTTCCCCCATCTTAACTTTGAATAGTCTGTTTTCTTCCACAGTCTGAATTTTTTAAAAAGTTAAAGATCTTGGGTATCACTTGAATATATCTACTGTTTTGTACTCTCTGTTAGTTTTACCTAACACACATTTTTGTAAGCACAATTTCCTACAGGTTATCTGTATGTTTATCTTTCTTATATAAACGTTTTTTACCCTGGGTCAGCTCCATTCCACTGTACGCAAGGTTGGGTCAACATTGCAAAAATTGGCTGGTGCCAATTAAAATATGAATTGGACAACTTTCTTCCCATATCTAGAAATTAAGAATTCGCAGCTAACAGGAACAATTTGTCCCGTAAACATTGCCACTGTTCAAAAGACACACTGAACTGAACAAAGGGAGAACAAACTGAAGAAAGTTGGAGACTGAAGAGAGATAAAAAGGACTGGCTCACAATTGCTAAAAAGGTGTCTCTCCAACCTGTTTGGAACTTGAACATTGTTTTCAAATGAAAAGAGCAATATAATTTTAATCCAGAAAAATCTTGGGTGCCAGTGCTAAATTTCAATACATTATAAGAAGGGAGTTTGTAAAGAGTAGTGCCATGGCCTAGAGCTGGAGCTTTTGCCTCACAGTCAGAAGGCTGTGAGTTCAATCCTAGGTAGAGACAGATAGTTTTCTCTCTGGGCACAATGAGAATAAACCTGCTGAATAAAACTCTGCATTGGCGGCAGGAAGGGCATCCGGCCAATAAACACACTGCTAGTTCCATTCAGTTGCCCAGACTCAAGGGATTATGGGGTCACTAACAGATAACAAGGGAGTTTGAGACACACACATACACATCTGCAAGGCAGAATCAGATCTACTAATGATTTACTTTCCCACATTTGGGGGAAACTACAAGTGTCAGTACAACCAGAATAAAATGGATGAACTTTGTGCTTTGAAAGCCATTTCATGATCATAGTATCACTTCTGCCACGATGACATGTTGGGTTATCTCTTTTAGGAAACTGTGCAATACAATATTATTTCCTATTTTTGGGATTTGTTTTGCCTTGCTTGAGGGGTTGCAGGTGAGATGCTGGGCTTGTTGACCTGAAGGTTGGCAGTCCAAGACCCAAGTACCGCATGATAGGGTGAGCTCCTGTTCTTGCCCAGACCCTGCCGACCTAGCAGTTTGCAAATGACATGCAAACGCAAGTAGATAAATAGGTATCACTTTGGTGGGAAGGTAACAAGTGTTCCGTGCACCTCAGCATATACACATTATGGAAAGTGTCTTTGGACAATGTGATAAGAAATAGTGATAAGCACCACCTCCTAGAGTTGGACAAGGCTGGGTAGGGGAAACCTTTATCTTTTGTTTAACCGTAGACCTTTATAACATAGGTGATTAAGACTGACACTTCCGATTTGGCTGTCTAAACCAGCTCTCTTCAGAATGAATGCCCCATTCCCACAAATACACTCCCAGCACCTGAATCCACATTAATAGCCATGCTGGCTTGATCATGCTGAACTCCACACATCTGGAGGCATGAGGTTAGAAGAGGCTGATACAAATCACCAAAATAATTTTCCTCTTGAAATGGTAGATAGTCCGGGAGGGGAGAGAGGGAACAGAACAGGTTTTTGTTTTTTTTAAATCCTTGCATGTTGTTTTCTACCTTTTAAGGCTGTTCTTTTCAGGCTTCTGAACACAATTCTGGAAACCCAATAGCTACATGAAGGCTGGAATCGAAGGCTGCTTTGTCACAGTGTTCAGATAAAGGGCTGCCACTTCCTGATTTTTCACTTCTCTTAGTGCTGATTGCTGTCACTTCTGCATGCAGAAAATCCATACAGGAACAGAGGTCAAATGCCCTTTCTTTCTCTTCTTTTTTCCCCCAGAATATCTGAAAGCGCAGATAGTCTCTGTGATCCGGTTTCAGGAATCTCCCAGTTCTTCTTCTTTTTAACTGTAGTGGATTATTGGGGAACCTGAAGGAACTCTTCACATAATCACATGTATCATTTTAAATAGCTTGGAAATCTGGAAAAATTGTTGTACTACCAAACAGAAGCTTCATTACGATGTTGACTAAAACATAATTAGTAACAGACACTAATTCAAGCTACATTATCTTGGAATATTTGACTTAAGAGACTTTAATCTTTATACATTTTAGTATACCTTCATTAATATGAAAATTACTTTGCCTGAAAAGATAGCTACCATATTTTGTTTTCTCTCTTTTGATTTATTCTCATTTGAACTTGTATTAAGTGTTACCAATTATGTGACATTGCAATAAAACTGTAGCTTGGTTGAAGAAAGCTCTATCATCAAATGAAGAATACTGAATGACTGCATTCTCACAAGTCAGCTGTTCTTTGATTATTGTTTATTAAACCACAAATGGCTGGATTTCCATTACCTGATATATTATAAATTTGGTTTTATAAATCACAGTGACTAGTTTCAAACAAAATCCAAACAAACCATGTTTTGACTATATTGATGTGTGAATTCATTGTCTCATATTTATTCAGAAATTTTGTTATCTATCATTTCAGCTTATCATTTTGTCTGAATTCAGAGACAATAATTGCATTCTTGCTGTGGGAAGTTACTAATTCTGTTCTTAATATGGTACTTATATTTGTTCCAGCCTTTTATTTATTGCTTGCACTCATCAAATCCACAACTGACATTTGAGACCTATTTAAGACAAAGTTGTTCAGTGTGATTCTATGAAAGCTAATTCAAAAATAAATTCTATTGACTTCAATGGGGCTTACTCTTGGGAAGATTAGAGGATGCCGCTCTCTTTCCCAGTTGTGTATTCCTGATTTAAATAAAGGTGATGGAGATTTTGCAGTCACCCTTGCCTGTTGGCAGATCATCTCATGATGATTTCTACAATTTATCATAATCAAATATAAATTGCTTTTAAAACCTGACAGGGAGAAGTTATTTCCTGTAAGAAAAAGAGTTTTTAAAAAGTGCAGACCTAACCTAACAGGTATCACAAATACTAAAGATTTCCTTCAATTATCTATGTAGAAAATGTGTACAAGCAAACACAAATTGAATGTTCTTCTAATACTTTAATTGCCTAATCCTATGCTTGCTTATTGAGAACTCTATTAAAAGTCGGTTGAGTGGGAGCTTATATCAGCTAGGAGCCTACTGTATAAATGTGGAGCCAATTAGCTTCTTTAGAAGTTTCTTTGGATGCACACAAACTAATATGCCAATACAAATGTTTCATTCCTTCGTGGCTCCCTTTATTCAGTACATTCCCTTTATTCAGTACAAGAACAGTGTCATATATCAAAAATAAATGCCTCTCCTTTAGCAAGAAACTGTACTTCTGAAAAGCATGTGTGGAGCCCTAGTAAACAATGTAGATTAGGGAAAAAAAGTATGCTAGCCATATGGCAAAAATTCTGGTGAGTTTTGAAACTAAGCCTGGAAACAGAAATATATTCTTAGAATAAAAATTACTTTATTTCAAGCATTTGTGCTAAATGCAACCCACTGCATTGCTAAGATTAATAGAGGTATAAATATGATCAAATCTACTTCCTTAAAATGCTCTTCTCTTCTGCTTGCTTTCCTTCACCAGCCCCCAAATTTACAATTCACATGATGCTTGTTCACTGCCATTACAGACAATAATAATAGTTTCTTTACTGTGTGTGTTCAGTAGAAAAAAGCTCCTTGAAATGCAAAACCTCTTCGGTTAAAATCGTATGTAGCCCTAACCTAAAAATTAAATAAATGTGTAGAGAGGTTATTGTCAACTAAAATAGGGATGCTTATTTCAAAATATTTTTTTAAAATATTCTGAAAATTCTAGTAAACATAACCTTATTACAATGATACCAGTTGGGCCATGCGATTGACGTAAAATAGATCCATGATATTAGCTGATTTTATGGAAGCTGTGGCTGTTAAGGCTTCAAAAACATCTTCCATTACTTGTTTTCTAGTAGGCAGATAAACTGGATATAGAATGAGCTGAGACATTGGATATGGTTCTTATTCTAATTTCAATTATCATTCAAACTAAACTGGACTAACTTTTGGGGAGCGCGTTAAGTACCAATTTGAAAAACGAATCAACAACATTTGGGATTGCACTTCTACTTTTTATTAAGAAATACTAGCCAATCTTTTCCGTGTAAGAATCTTCCCAACCTATAGTGGGTCAATCTTATGAAAAGTACTTCAATCTTTCATTATATTTAAGTTACAGCCTGCTTGAAAAACACACATGTTAAACTTCTTGAAGTGATACAGTACAGTTTTATGTGCCTTTACTGGTATGACCAATCAAGTACAGGTGGTCCTCAACTTACGACCACAATTGAGCCCCAAATTTCTGTTGCTAAGTGAGATGTTTGTTAAGTGAATTTTGCCCCATTTTATTATCTTTCTTGCCATAGTTAAGTGCACAGAACTAAATATATACCTGTATTCATCTTGAAAGCATGGGGAGCGTATGCATGTGAGGGAATGGACAGCATAAGTGTGATGCTGTAGGCTCTGCCGCTTTTGCACATGCCCCTGATATCATAGTGGTAAAGCTGCAGGGCTTGTGTCATGCTGTTGTGACACTTGTGTTGTTATTTTGACCAAACTGTCAGATTCTGTGGACCTGAAGCCTCTGTCTGGCTGAATATTTTTCTGCGTAGGAAGATTTAGTGGCGAGTTTGTTTAATAATTTTATGTGCATTTTCTAACCACAGGGTTGATAAGTTCTGAATATCATCACTGACTGTATAAACATCTAAGCATGCCGTGGATTAAAAAAAGTTTGATGATAGAATCGTGATTTCATTACATTAGGTGCAGTTATAATCATTAGCTTTCTAAATGTGGAGCTAATAAAGCTTGACATCTATACACACACACACACCCTCCTTAACGTTGAGATGTGAGAATGTTGAGATCAGAAAAGAGGAAAAATATTGGGACAGAGAATTTTATATATGAATTCATGAGTACAGATGTATTTGGTATAAATAGCAAATATAAGCAGAACTGTGCAAATGCTAATTTGGTAAGAAAGCATGGCTGTGAGCAGCAGGGAATAAAACAAGGGGAACAAATTTTACTCTTGAGTATATACCGTTTCCTTGGGAAATGCTGCGATAAAAAGATCTAAGATTGCTGGTGTCATATCTACTCTGTGGTGTAGCTGTAACTACTTCCAGAGAATATTAGCTGTGATCCCCTTGCTTTGTAAACTCTCTGTTTAAAAATATTACATTTATCTATACACTCTACATCTATCTGTACACTCCTTATGAATTTCCAGTGCTCTGTAAAAAAAAAAGGCAAATCAGATCTGTTCCAATTCTCCAAAAACCAATAATGTTTAAATTATTATGTTGATTTTAATCTCAAACTGTGACTTATTATACAGCTGATAAGCAAATCTTATCAGACTTCCATCTTATACCTTTAAAAAAAAAAAGCTTAAGTGTGTACTGTAATTAAAAAAAATGAAAAACAGCACAAAACAAAGCATGCTAAAATTCCATATGGAAAAGATAAGCAATCTCTGATTGGAATAATACATATTACTTTTTCTGATTTTTCTCTGGGTAGAAATAGTCAGAAAGAGGAAAAATATTTCCTTAAATAGACCAAAGATAACATGCTATGGAGACCTTTAAAAAAAAACAAAAAACTATTTGCTCATTTTTTAAATGAACACAGTTACAACGGCAGGCACGAAAGCCCTCTTGAAATTTTAAAATAAGAAACACTTGAAAAATTTCCAAGTTCTACCAAGTGGCTTTGGAATTATCAGTCAGGAATTTACATGATTTTACTGATAGTGGTGGGTGTATTACGTATGCAAATTTATTGTCTTCTGGGATGATAGGACAAAAGACAAACGTTAGCAGTCAGGTTTACAAAATCAAACCCTACTCTTATCAAAGCATGAGAAATTGCAAAATTCCACCAAGCACAATGTTATTTTTCTAATGTATCTCTGATCTATAATGAGAAGCAATCTAAGGTATAGATTTTGCATTCAATAACCCTGTCAAAAACTACATCACACATCAAATGTTAATGGCGCTGGGGAGTTGGGTTGATTAATACCATAACAAATGGTATATATTACAAAATTTCTTTTGTTCTTTCCTCACAATGATGCATACGGCCAGAATTTAACCTTTAAGGGTTAAAGAGTTTAATCAATGTCAATGTCTGATCTTCTGAAGGCAATAAAGAACAGACTGTCTAGCGATACCCAACAGAATATCACTTTGTCAAGCCACAAAGCGCCCAAAAGCTTGTCAAGTAAGTTACCAGAAACCTCTTTGTGGTTAGAACTCAGCTCCTTCCTGCTTGACCTATTATTTGATATTTGACCACTTGGTTGCAAGACACTTGCTCTTTCCAGCTGAAATGTCACTGGGGCGTCTTGTCAGCTCTTGGCCTGACATACAATTTTACTTTTGTGTGCTACAAGGCAGAAAATGCAGGGCAATGGCCTTGCTTTACATTCTGTCAGCATCAAAAGATGGGCGTCACTCTTGGGTCCTACCAACAACAACAACAACAAAGAAAGAAGCTTATTTTGAAGGTCAGAGCAGCCATTACTCTAAAATCTTGAAATTCGGGACTAAATTTATTACCGGGCGATGCTGGCTTGAGAACTGCCCTTATGAAAGCACATAAACACAGACCCTCTCCAAATCTCCCTACAACAGTTGCTTCTACTTCCTGATCAAATGCCGACTTGATAAAAAAAAAAAAAAGAGGGGCCGTTAGGGACCGGATTCTGCACTTAACTTGTTCAAATGGGCAAGTGGTATCATGTAGCTTTACAAGGCGCAACCTGACCTTCTCACATTGACCAGGAGTGACATAATTGTGCAGGAGGAGAAGCAGTCACATCATTTCTGTTTTGCACAACCTGCTTAAAGTTTGCAACTAAATGCTTGTCTTCAGTTGAGCTGACAAGAGAGAAGAGAGGGCTCAGTGAACCATGGCAGGGCTGCCATGAAATGACAGGAATCATTGGCATACATTTCAAATAGCTCTCTCAATCCTATTAAAGTATTGCAGCCCTGTTTTAAAATAGACAAGTATGAAACAACTTTGATAGATAGAGAATAAAATGGCTTATTGATTTTTTTAAAAAAAAAAGTCTGAGGAAAATTACCCCAAATGTGTCATTCTTTAACATTTAAAAATATATTACATAAAAATGAGCTACCACGGTAAATAAAAGTTTTTTTTTTTTTTAAATGACCCTTCTGCTATGCTGGGCATGGGGTGTGCAGCATATGCAAACATTGCCCCCCTCCTTCCTCCCACGAAGAATGTAAAATTAATGCCATAGAAATGCATAGAGAGCAAACTTCAATTCAAAGGCTAAAACCATCCTAATAAAATCGGACTTTAATTAATTCTCTTTCAGCTGCTTTACAAAATGACTAGATTCTAGCATCCATTTGGCATTGCTCTTTTGGCAGACATGACATGTAGGTTTGAAGGAAAGGAGGATGAAATTGGAGGTCTATTATGTGCCAAGGTAAAAGGCAGATCATAATCTGATTCGGACTTCAGTGGCAAAAACCCTGGAAGACAGCCTTGATCTAGCTGGGGTAAAGAACTTGACACAGTATGGATGCTTGAAGCGTTTCGTGAATCCTGCGGGGGGGAAAAATAAAGACAACAAAAACATTTTCCTTTAATTAGTTCATAAAAACAGTAGATATTATCTCTAGAGAGTATAGTCCTTGTTTAGCAATTGCCTCATTTAGCCATTGTTTGTAATTACGATGGTGATAAAATGTAACTTTACAGTCAATCTTCACATTTACAACCTTCTTGAGTTTGTAAAGCAAAGGAAAAGTGAAGTATGATGGCTTTAAGCATGGACTGTGGTTTCATTTAGTGACCAAATTGCTGATCCCAATTGTGATTGCTAAGTGTGGACTACTGGAAATATGCATAACTTTAAGCCCCAGTGATTTCAAAGGGATGTAAGTATACTCTATGTATCTATTGACTGTGCCCATTAATAACAACTTTCTAAAAGGGCAATTGGTTCTTTGGCTTATACGATGCTTTGATTACATATATTCTTTTTAAATATTTGAATATAGTTACAAAATTTGCCATCATGCACTGGTTTACATCTGCACATCTGGTTACCTGGATTTCTTACATTTAAAGTAAGACTTACAAACAATAAATAAAAACAGAAGTGTTTACCAAACCCTTTTTGAGAAAAGGTGGCGGAAATAGTTGTGAGTTTTAAATACTTACCAGTTTTACCTTTCTTTGTCTGGAACATTTTAAAAGTTGCCAATAACCATCTCTTGCTTTCCACAAGGACTGATAAGCTAAGAGTCCGTGCATAGTAAAAGAAATGACTTGCAAACGGAATTCTTGTTTAGAAATCTCTAGTAAAACTCAGGCAAAATTTTCCAGATTGTATATTCACACTCTTCGAATACAGCAAAGGTTAAGTGACTTTTAAAAAAAGCTGTACCCAACCTTACTGGTGGTGGTGGTGGTGGCAAAAGAAAACTTTTCCTATCCCAGCTCCTTACATGCACAAATGAAGGTTTGCGTGCACGCCCGCCACTTCCATGGCCCGGTTCCCAACGGGAGGTGGACCGGAACCAGTCTGTGGGCCAGGGGTTGGGGACCCCTGTTTTAAAACATATAATCTCAGTCAAATATATACACACACAAGACTCTAAAATAGACCAGTAACAATGCACTATTGTCAAAATGTGATGGCTTACATTTGGTGGACTAAATAAATAAATACATAAATAAATAAAAATAAAGTTGTTAGCTATAAGTTCGTATTTGGAATTCTGCTACTGTGAATTCTGAGGGTTTTTTTCTTCCCATTGCTATTACTGTTACTGGGAAGAGGGGGGGAAATCAATGGCTCTATCTATCACAGTTCAGCAATTTTCTTTGATATTGGCTCTTTGATTTCGTGGTATTATACAAGGTCATCTTGGATCTGGGTGAAAAGCTGGGCCTTTAAGACCCACCCATATGGCAGCAAGTTTAAAAGGTCACCCCCGGGAGATATTTTAAAAGTAGTCCTACTTTCAGTTCTCCAAAGAAAATGAATTTGTAGACAAAATAGGAACATGCAGTCTTCAGGACAGCTGGCTTTTAGGCTAACAGTGCCTAGTTTTGCCTCTCTCATCAAAGTCAGATATTTGCACATTTGTTCCAAAGGTGCTTTTTTTTCAGGAGGCAACTAGACTTTTTTATTTTTTCTTTGAAGACATTTCGCTTCTTATCCAAGAAGCTTCTTCAGCTCCTTTGGGACAACCATGACTTGGATGACTGAGAATCTCTACAGACCATTTGCACATTTATTATTCAAATCAGCAAGTTATATACATTTGTCTGAATACTTAAGCACAATATCAGAGAAACAATAAAAAAAATAAAAGATTGGAATGTTTTCATTTCTTTCGAACGAAGGATGAGCTTTTGTACAAATGTGTGCTGTATTTTAAATGGTGCTGCAGAACGACGATCAAGCTAAATGTCTTGCTTAGGTAAATGACACCAATAAATGGTAGGAGCTAAAGGTCAGCTAAATGTGCATGTTTGTTGGCATTATTGTCTCTTCAAATCAACCTGCTTATCATCCTCCAGGTTAAAGGACATTTTGGGGCTCACTTTTTTTTTTTACTCCTCAAAAACAAGCCTTTAAAAAAAGAAAAAGAAATGGAAAAACTTCCGGTTTGAGCTTCTTCGGCGACAGACCGAAACCTCGTCTCTCCGAGGCTTCGATCCGTGCTCGCCACTGGAGTGCCCCGAGCTGGCTGGTTTCGGGGCTAAGCCACCCCGTAGAGATGGTGAAGAGGGGGAAGACTGCCTGCAGGGTTGAGGAGAGCCACATCTCTCCTCCCCAGCTGGTCATTACTCCCTTTCCCGAAGGCGGTTGTAGCGGTGGTCAGAAATGGCCACCACAAAGAAGAACTCGACCGGAAAAGAATGTGCAGGAGGAAGATAAGAAGAGAAAGTTTTGGTTGACCGGGTCAAACAGCAAAAGCAACAAATAAGGTACCCTGGAATTTAAACTTAACAACATTGTTCCCAAAGAAGATTTTGAAGCTGCGAAGGAGAGAGAGAAGGGAAAGGATTAGGCTTTTTTTTCTTCCCTTCCTTATATTGACAGCTAAGAGACTTAAGCAAGAAACTGGAAAAAAAATCCACTTTGACATTAATAGGCATCTAAGCTGAAAATAAAAGTCAAAGGGATAAATAAAGATTTCTGGACATTTAAAAGTTTTTAAAAGCTGGAAAGGAGGGGAAAAAAAAGAATAGAAGGGCAGGATCTGGAAAAATGGAGGAGACTGCCAGGAATTAAGGAATGGAACTGTAATTAAAAGGAACCTACAGTGAAATTTTAACAAGATTCCTCAAAGATACATTTTAATGGAAACTTGGTAACAAAATAATAGAACCCCAGGAAGAGAAAGTGGAAAAAAGAAGCAAGTAGAAACAGCCTTGGATTATTTGGATTACTTGGTGATTTTTGGTTTTTGCATCTAGATGACTAAAATTAACTGGGTGGTTGTTTAAAAGTTTTTAAAATGGTATCACTCTTAGAAGAACTGAAAACGGAATTTAAAAAATGGAAAGAAGATGCACAAGAAGGGAAAAGTTCTTTTGGCTTCATGTTTCAATTCTTAGAAATGGAGATCTGGAACTATGAGAAGCAACAAGAAACGCTTGCAGAACAAGAAGATTGGGACAAAGAAGAAGCCATCTTTAATGATCAAATAATTTTAAGTGGGGTGGGGATAAAAGGGGGGAAAGAGAGTGAAAGGTTTAAGATTAGAAAAAACAACCAAAAAGAAGAAGAACAATTTGAAAGATAAGTATAATATTAGAAAGCAACAGAAGAGGGGATTACAGATGAGAGAGTTAGAAGTAGAGAGACGAGGGGGTAAAAAGGGGAGGGAGAAGAAGAGGGGGAAGAAGGCAAGGAAAAGAAGTTGTAAAAGACAGAAACAAGAAATGGAGAAACAGGTGAAAATTTAATTGTAAAAGGGAATCTGCAAAGGTACATAAGATATCTTTGTTATATTACAAATAGAAATAACTTTAGAAAAATTGATGATGGATAAAATATTTATTGTAATGCAGTGGGATGTTTGTTAATAAATAAATGAATTAAAAAGATTGAATTAAAAGGGAACATTTTTAATTATTAGTAATGATTTATAAAAATATAAGTGAGAAATATGGGGGGGGGGAAAGAATTAACTATGGAAAATTTATAAGTGTTCCCAAGGAAGTATGATATTCAATTGAAAAGAAATCTTAAAGATGTTAAGATTTTAATGCATATTAATGATAGAATTGAATTGGAATGGAATGTGTTATATATATATATATATATATATATATAATTTTTCTTTTTAAGAATATAGTGTCTATTTTAAGAATGTATCAAGCAGAATTCGATTGGAAGTTATGTGTTATATTGAATGCTATAATCTTAAAGCTATACATTGAAGCTTAAATAAGAGCTTGAATGGATAAAATTAAAGGATATAAAGGTGTCATACTCTAATTGGTAACCACAGGGAAAAATTTGCTTAATAAGAAAAGATAATGTGAAATTGTAACAGGAGAGACAAAAGTATAAATATAATTATTTGAATTGAGATAATTAAAACAAAGTTGAGAAAATTAGAAGAGGGGAAAAACTATGTAAAAATATAAAATGGTAATAAGATATGGAATAGAATATAAAAATGAGCATGAAATTGAGTTTTGTGTCTGTATGAAGAAGTGATAACCTGGGACCATGCTATTTTCAAAAAAGATGTTTTATTTGTATTTTGTTTTTATGAAAACCCAAATAAAATTTTCAAAAAAAAAAAAAGAAAGAAAAAGAAATGAAAAAGAGAAGAAAAGGAGGGAGTACACACAAAAAACCCAACAACCTCAAAAGTCCAAAGAAGGGGAGAGGTTAAAAAAAAATCAGGTTTCCTTGGGGAGCCACGCTCAACAAAAGTATGAAACATAATGATTGGCAGCTAGTCAATAGAAATTGAAAAGGCTTCAACATTTGGTAGAGGAGATGGGGATGGGGGAGGGGCAGCGGAGGGGGAGGTCGCTAAGTTTCCATTCTGTGGTCAGGTTGCTTCTCCTAATTCTGCTCAGGTAGAATTAAAACCCAACAATGGGATGGAGATCAGGGCTACTGTGGCCTTGGTCGTTATTAGCCCTCACCTTCCAAAAGAAAGCAAACACGTGGCCTGGTGGAGGGTGTAATTCCTGACAATTGTTGTCTAGATGGGAATAAATCGAGAATTCCATCTCTGAATTACAGTGGATGATTTTTTTTTCAGTATCCCTACTTTCCTTTGCTTTTGGGCACTGGATAGGATTAATGCACTTAGATTGGTTGTAGAGAAGCATCCAGTCCGAAGGGTTAATTTTCCTGGAGGGTAAATAGGGACAACTGCTTTTACTGATAAATAGTCTCCAAGGATAATAGTAGAGCAAATACGGTAGACCAGCCCCTTTAAAAACAAACAAACAAATAAAAGGAAGGCAAACCTATGTTGATTGCCTTATAAATGTAAATGAACTTCTAAGGTTGTTAAAAAGATTGCACAAGAAGGAGCACAGAGGGAAGGTTTTTA